CGAAAGTGGTCGAATATGACATGCAGTGGGGTCATGATAGTTTGGAGCCATAAGTCTACCCCGGATTCATAGACTTTTAGTCGTACGAGTATACTTTGGCCAGGGAGCACCAAGTGGAGGTCAGTCAATCGCCCAAGAGGTTAAATTTCATGAGGCAGTTTTAAAAACCAAATTTTGAAAATCGGCCAAGATAGCTCGTTCATTTAATATATTTGATTTAAAATACAAAGACGACCTGTTTTGGGTTTTGTCTGCCACTATAGTTACCCGACGCCGAATCCATTAGAAAGCCGCTAAGTGGTTTTGCGTAACCAATATATACACTGTATTAATGCAAATTTTTAGACAAAATTTCAAATAATAAAATAGGAAATTTTGTTTGTGGGAGTAAGTTAAAAATTGCCAAGATTTTTCAAATACCTTGACAATATCTTAGTCCCTAGTCTATTTTTGACTCCTGTTGATAAACTAAAATTGCATGCCCCGATTTGCGATGCAATTGTTAGAACTCATTGGAAATGCCGACACAGTGATATGGAGCTTATTAATAAAAGACCAGAATCATACTCACTATTCAGTCGCTTGAATAATACATGAATCCCAATATCTAAAAGGTAGAGTTAAAACGTTGTATAAAATTATTATTATTATTATTATTATCGTAATTATTATTATTACGCTGAAGGAGAAGAGTACACGAGTGGAAGAGTAACTTTAGATTTCTTCATAGTCTCTCTCTGCCACCCCCTTCTTGGTCTAAAAGTCCTCCTTGAATTTCCGCCTGCGTTAAAAGCACTGCCATTGTCCTCCTTTTTAATTGAGACAACAGACGAAGAGGCGGTAGCAGTATTTGTAGCAGAATTCGATGAGGTACCTTCAGATTTAGGAGGTTGGTCGGAGCTTTTTGGCTCCATTTTCGGTTGTTTATTTTCTGCTTCAGGCTTTGTAGACACGGGGCATTCGGTCATTCTTTCGAATTTACCATTTGTCTTGTTAAAGTTTCTAGGTTTAAAGTACCTCCTCCTTCTATTTTTAGCACTCTTGGGAAGGTTCCGTTGTCTCTTGGCCTGGTCACTTTCGTGGCTCACTGAGGAGGTATCCATAACTTTGAATCCACCTAAAGCCAAGCATACACCAGGTCGAAAATCCCAATCTTACCTAATGTGTTCCTCGACCGTTTTTTAGCAATTCCTCGAATTTGAAAAGCAAAACTAGTAATATCTGAGACAATACGAAAGTTATCGGCTTGATCTCCAGTCAATATTAAACTTTGCGTGAACCTTCTAAATGTCCTTTTATCACCACACTTGAACTCTCCAATCAAATGAATTAGTGTGGTATTTTGGACAGAACGAATTGCATTTAATTCGCGAATTTCCACTTCTGGGTTCTGTCCTTTAATGTTGGTCAGAAGTCGTCGAATTTCATCACGTCCATTAGACTGTTGATTGTCATAAATACTCATGGCATCTGGTGCGTAATATTCGACAACATGTAGGGGATCGTAATTGAATTTGGAGTAGAAGCTGTAGATAAAGTACTTCGCATTTTCTCGAATAATTGGGCCTGACGAATCTGACGGTGTGTCGGGCGGAGAAACTTTGATATCACATTCGTCTATAACCACTGTCTCAATCATACCTTCTCGTACGTAGTAAAAAGAGCAATTAAAGCCTAAAGCTTTAAAGTTTGCTTAAATGATCCTAATTTGAGGTCACTTTGTAGCATAAATCAGTTTATTTATCGAACTCAACTCAAATTATCTTGTGCATATTTGCTAAAGTAACCTTAAAAGTAAATTGAGAATTTGCAAGAGGTATTCAGTAGAATATTGCTCATTTTTGTCACTTCGTTACGCAAAACCAGAATTTTGAAATAACTATTATAAATTAAGCTTATTAAGAATTGATAATGTATTTTTTTCAACAAAACATACCATTTATTGCACTGTTTTTATGAATATGCAGTCAAAAGTTCTCTTAAGTTATGTGGAAAAAACGAACTTAATCGATTTGTAATTCCACCTAGATTGCAAAGCTAATAAGTTTAAAACAAAGTTTGAATTTCCAATTAGTATTACCCACGACTAAGAAAGAAATGTCTTTGTGTTTAAAAAGTTACTCAGTCAGGCTTGCTCAGTCTCAAGCTTTCGAAGTAATTAAAATCGGAAGGACGATTTTGCTTTTTTACCAAACTTATGATGACTCTTCCAGGTTCAAGTGATTTGCCTGATATTGTTTCTTAGGCCAAACATGTTAGGATCATCTGTTTGAAGAGTCGCCACATTGTGGAAACTAATGAACTGGAAGGAGATTGCAGCAATTAAGACTAACAATAAAAACCTACATCAAAAATTAAAAAAAGTAAAGATTTATGTGGATAGAAGCGCTTTGAATAGACTATGATGAGTATTTGAGAGTTCAAGAAATATGAGCTAGCGAGGTGTAGCGGATTACTACGCTAGTAAAGCCTGACTGACTCAGAAATTTCTATGGCAGATTCTCCAACATCTAGCTAGACTCCCAGAACTAGCTATGCTATAGCCCAGCTATAAAGGAAACAGACGTGTGGCACGGAGCACGTTTATTCGGGACGTATACTGCGGATCAAGTGTGTTCACGCAGGGAGCTACTCATGATCAGGATGGGGGATTAGGTTAAACAGAGGTTGATGATTGGTCGCTGTACGGTCGCTGCACACAGAGTTGTACGGCCGCACCTCCCAATCCTGGCGAGCAAACATGCAGGCATACGATGACCCACACAGCGATAACGTGTCCCACAGAGGTGATGAGAGGAGAGGATATAAGCCGATAATAATGCCAAGGGCACATGAATTTTGGTGTACGCTTCAATGAAACCAACTGTGAGTACGCTCAACTAGAAATGACAGTTGACGGTTTGAGTTATATAGTCAAAAATATGACATCAGAGATTAGCGGACTAAAATCCCAATTATTCTCATTTGGATTNTATCAAAATGCCTGCCAATTGAAAAAAACTTTATTTTAACTAGCTATTTGATTATTTCAAGTTTTGCTAACAAATTTTATTTTTTTCCATATTTTCGCTACTTCGTATTTTTGTGCTAGTGAGGTTTTAATACATGTATATATATGCATATGTTAATAAACCACTCAACTTATACTCATACGGCAAAATAGTCTATTAATCGCCAGTTGACTTCAATCTCCCATGACTCGACGGTATGTCATATTCCACCGCTTTCACAGTACTCACTTCACCTTACCTTTTCTCTACCTTTGCGTCTGTCTCTTTTACATCTTTGAATCATTCTCCTGTTCCCCTCACGACTTTTGTGACTTGATCTGATCCTCCCTTCTGTAAAGCTCGAAGTCAACTAACGGGATAATGAGGACTATCATAAATATATGAATAAATAAATCTCTCTGTTCAATAAATTCTTCAATACTTATAGTTTCCTGATTGATAGACGCTCTTAATTCGGCTTATTTGGATTCAATTGCCGACTTCATCACTATTTCTCTCACAAGAAATGATGATGAATTTAAATTGTAAATTTTAAATAATTAAAAGAATTATTCTTCTAGTCTATTATTTGTAGAAATGTTAATTTTGTTTACGCATAAATCAAATTGGCACGTTGAATTACTCAAGAATATTTACAATTAATCTACAGACTTTATGTATTACTTTCATTGTCTTTAAATGAAATCATTATTTAATTTTAGGAGGATTGCAACAATTTTTTTTCAAATTAGACAAGGTGATTTATTGGTAGTTCAAACTTCTAACTCCGAATAGAAAGCGAGCACATACAATCACAAAATTTAAAATAATTTTCATGTAAAGCATAAACAAAAATATAATTGAGATTTTACCATAAAAGTTTTTAAATCAAAGGTTACTCTGAAGATAAATTTTAATTAGAGATGAGCAAAATAATTAAGTCATAGTGGTTTTGGGGTAACAACTTGCAATATTAATATAAATTTTTTGCTTTAAAGAGTTGACTCGGTGTAACTGAGTGTCTAAATAGCTGCCAGAAAGTAAATTAGGATAGAAAAATAAAATAAAAGTAAAATAACTTTTTACCTAACATTTTAATGCAAATTTTAGCTTTATTTACTCTAAAATAAGCCTGACCATCTTAAAGGTTAGGATGAAGTAACTTTAAGCAACAAATTGAAATCCAAGATAATTAAATAATCTTCCTCCTGTTGGAATATTCTTAATTCAAGGCTGAAGCAAATGAGACGTCAACGCAACTCTTAAATGGCAGATTAATCAAGTAGCCAATGGAAGGGAGACAGGTTTGAGGAGGCCATATCAAGTAATCAAAACAAAATTTTTTTATTAAAATTCTTGGATTAATTAAATTCTAACAATTGTGTCATATTGCCAAATGAGATCTTATTATTTGCATTAATTAAACTTGAAGAATAATAAAAAATTAACGCTTCTTTAAGAAGGAAATATGATTTGAAATTTTCCTTCTGGTAGAATAAATTTGCTTGGTAATATTAGCCATCATGGGGTGTGCGATAGACTTACCTCCACGTGGTGCACCCTGGACAACGTTTACTCATATGGCAAAAAAAGTCTTTTAAACGACAGTTGACTTCTGACTTCAAACTACCCCCACTGTATGCCATATTCAACCCATTTCACAGTACTCATCTTACCTTTTCTCTGCTCTTTTGTCTGTCTCTGTCACATCTGTGAATCATTATTCTGTTACCCCTCTCGACTTTTTGTCACTTTGATGTTCCTCCTCCTCTCTGTGAAGCCCGAAGTCACCTAAATGGCTAATGATAACTATCAAAACGCCTGCCATTTGAAATAAATAAATAAATATANGATTCTCCAACATCTAGCTAGACTCCCAGAACTAGCTATGCTATAGCCCAGCTATAAAGGAAACAGACGTGTGGCACGGAGCACGTTTATTCGGGACGTATACTGCGGATCAAGTGTGTTCACGCAGGGAGCTACTCATGATCAGGATGGGGGATTAGGTTAAACAGAGGTTGATGATTGGTCGCTGTACGGTCGCTGCACACAGAGTTGTACGGCCGCACCTCCCAATCCTGGCGAGCAAACATGCAGGCATACGATGACCCACACAGCGATAACGTGTCCCACAGAGGTGATGAGAGGAGAGGATATAAGCCGATAATAATGCCAAGGGCACATGAATTTTGGTGTACGCTTCAATGAAACCAACTGTGAGTACGCTCAACTAGAAATGACAGTTGACGGTTTGAGTTATATAGTCAAAAATATGACATCAGAGATTAGCGGACTAAAATCCCAATTATTCTCATTTGGATTAAGGTAGAAGAATAATTTTGAAAAATATGTGTGGAATCGCTTTTTAAAATGAAATAGGATTGACGACGGATTGACTAGGGTCAATTGTTAAATGAATTAATGTTAAGCAAGCAGTTTTCTTTCAAAATGTTTTTGTGGAAATTCAATTAAATTTATCTCACCTCAACGATTCCGAGTGTTTAAGTTAGGAAAACATAGGACTTCATGCTGCACCTCAACTGAAGTGATAATTAATTTAGTAGAATAAATCAATTAAAAATACCAGATAATTTGTGAGCTGAAACAAATGAAAAAACCGATATATGTTGTTATTGTGAGAAATATTGATGAAAACTTGGGTTATAAAATGTGAGTGAGAAGAACTAAAGTACGAAAGGATCCGCCCTTTGGCAACTAGTAAAAGATTAAGAAAATCGATAAAGTTTTGTCCAAATGATGTTCGTGAACTGGGGTGCGCAATAGACTTACCTCCACGTGGTGCACCCTGGGCAACGTTTACTTATACGGCAAAAAAGTCTATTGATCGGCAGTTGACTTCTGACTTCAAATTTCTATGGCCTTACTATTTTTCATATTCGACCCCTTCCACAGCACTCATCTTACCTGTTTTATGCCTTTGTGTCTGTCTGTTTCTTTCACCTCTGTGAATCATTATTCTGTCTCCCATCTCGACTTTTTGTCACTTTGATGTCCTTTCTCCTCTTCATGAAGCCCCGAAGTCAGCTCCAGGGCTAATGATAACTATCAAAACGCCTGCCATTTGATATAAATAAATAAATGTTCGTGAACTATACTACTCTATGGGACTAAGTGAAACTAGTATGTTGAAGGGTAACTTCGATTTAATGGAAGAAACCAGAAGATGAAAAACAACTATGTAATCGTCGTAGAGGTTGGAATGACTTAATCAGATAATTTGGCATTTTCTCGAACATAAATACATGTCAATGGTATTCATTTACTGCATTATTTTGATTTATTAGATGAGAGTAGGAGACGAAAAGTAAATAAATATATATAATGGTACACAGATTCGAAGAAAACCGCAACACTTAACGAATTGATAGTGAAATAGAGAGTGAGAGGGTGGTGGGCGGGCAGTTGCATTAGCGAAGCTGTCTGNATTACCTAGCAGTCGACTTCTGACTTCAAGCTGCTATGACCCCACTGTATGTCATATTCGACTACTTCCACAATACACACCTCACCTTTTTTAACCGTATCTACCTTCGTCTTTGAAACACTCTTCTNCAGATTAATCAAGTAGCCAATGGAAGGGAGACAGGTTTGAGGAGGCCATATCAAGTAATCAAAACAAAATTTT